AGCCAGCACCCTCTACACCCCACTTCAGCTTAGGAAAAGAGGAGGCTAACCTTGAGGCTACAGGGAAGGAATGAGTCGAAACATTAATCAAAGGCAGAAAATTGGGAGTAGGCACCAGTGGCCCCAGGTCTTTGAGCCTGGCCATCTAGGGGAGGGGGACTGTCAAGGCATTTTTCTGTTGGCCATGGCCTTGTCTTCCTGTATTCCATCCACTTAGGCTAAAGCCAGGGATGGAGAATTGGCACCAGACAGAAGTGGAAACTAGGAGGTGCATCTCACCAGGGTGCTTGACATCCCAGGAAAGGAATTGAGAAGTGTCTTCTTTGTGTCTCGTTGGGTTTTCTTTGCCATTTATCAGTTGTCCTGCATCTCATTCCCCCAAATAGTACTGTCTATGGCCCAGGTTGACCTTTTGCTGTGTCATCTTTTAGGATCAACTCTTCAGGAACTCAGGATCTGGTACCTGCCTGACATCCCTGGATAATAAGCCAGCCATGGCCCCCTGCAATCCCAGTGACCCCCACCAGCTATGGCTTTTTGTCTAGGACCAAGGTCATCCCCGAAGGAAGCCCTCACAAGCCTCTCAGGAAACAGGATTGCTGCTGTCTAGGAACCTGATTGCCAGTTTTGCTGTAGGACTTAAAGATGGGTTTCTAAACCCAATGGATGTCAAGACAGAACTTTCCTGCTCCTTGGAACAACAGTGGACTCTTTTCTTTCTTCCACACTGATGGAAGAGACCATTAGCACAAATGATGCTTGGCCTAGGGCTTTCCCTCTGTCCTGGCCTCCAAAGCAGAGGAGGCAGCTGGAGGAGGGCCCAGAGCAGCAATGCTGAGCTCAAGAAAAGTACTTTTGTAGACACGTCCTGAATCCTTGGTCATCCAGAGCCACTGCAGAATCTAGGGAAATGGTGTATTCTAACTGAATAATTAGAGGTCCAGGAGAGCCTGTCTCGCTAATATTACCCAAAATTTGTAGAACTGTTTAAAGAAAGCTCCCTAACAGGGGTTCTTTAGCTGCACAATAATCCTGTGAGAAAGACAGGTCAAGAACCACTGTGCCCATTTTACAGATAAGAAAACTGAGACACAGAGAGGTAAAAGAGCTTGCCTGTAGTCTCACAGCCAACAGATGGCTATAGCTGAGACCAAGGCTCACTTTTGAGACAGGGCTCCTTCCACCACAGCACAAGAACACTAGACGACCAGCCAGCAGCCATCCTGCTCCCTCTGCCTTCTGCCCTCATCATTTCTAGCCACCTGGCCTCCATAAAGCCTAGAGCCATGGAGCCAGGTGGCCATTGGGGCGGAGACCACATTTGGGAATCCTGGGATGTTAGTGTTGAAAGAAAGCTGCTAGAACCAGTGAGACCCAAGTTTAGGGTCTCGAAACCCCATACGATAGGTAGATAAAAAGCAAGGTAGCATAAGTGAAATTGAGGGAGGAATGGGCAATGCCCTCTAGCCCTGAACTTCTCAGTCTGTAAGCACAATGTGAAAACTGTTACTTTAGTCCAACCCTATCATTTTCCTATTAGGAACCCAAGACCAGATAAGTGAATTTGTCCAAGGTCACTCAGCAAGGTATTGGCAGCCCCTGAGGACTCAGATAAGGCTAACAAGTGCCCTGGAGAGTCTGAGGGAGCAGTGACAGCACACTGACTGGAAGACCGATCCCACTGCTGTGCTTCCGTGAAGCCCTCTGTACTGCAGACCCAGTGTGAATACCAGCTCCCACAGCTCAGGGACTCACAAAGGACAAACGTTCTATCCAGGAAGGCTGCTTTTGACTTTCAATAGCAAGCTGTCACCGCCTGAGGGTGCCGTGGAGTGCCGCTGCCTCCTGTTCCCACGCAGTTCAACCTGCAGGAGGCTTCCTAGGTCCCTGAGAGGCTTCCAGATCCTATAGAGGACACATTCCAAGGTAGCCCAGCCAAAGGGAAAGGAAAGAATGACCAGGGTGTGACCTGGAGAAAGGAACAGTTCATTCCCAGAAAGAAAAGAGAATTGAACGTGGGATCCCAGTGGAAATAAAGGTTTTTTGGCATTGATAAAGGAAGTCTGCATTGGAGTTCCTCTTTCCCTGTAGCGTCCCTTAGCTGAATCAGTTGATTTGGGCTGCGAAGAGCCACACACCTGAAAAGTTCTGTTACAGCCATGGTCTCATGTTCCCAAACATCCTCTGGCCCCATATCTAGCCAGTATATTGTGTGTCAGGCACATGGAGACACGAGAGGTAAGATGAGGCCCTCCTGTGGAGCTCACACTCTAAATCAGTGGTTCTCAACCTATGGGTCGCAACCCCTTTGTAACAATGAAAATATATCATGGCATTAGGAAGGTTGAAAACCACTGCTCTAAATGGAAACAAACCGTGACAAGCTGGAGGTGTTCAAAGATGTGCTAGGTGAGCTAGCAGGAATGAGAACACAGCTTACCTTAGGGGAATCAGGAAAGACCTCACAAAGACCTCAAGGATGAGTCCTCAGGACAGAAGGGCCTAATAAGCAATGATGTCAATAAGCAGTGATCTGGTATGAGCAAAGCCAGAGGGACAAAAGGGACAAATGGGTCTGGGAAGCATAAGGGTGAGTGAGCAATGAGTGTAAAAATAGGAGATAAGGGCCACATTATGACTTTTGTAGGTCCTGGCACTTTTTTTTTTTTTGAGATAGAGTCTCACTGTGTCACCCTCAATGGAGTGCTGTGGCATCATAGTTTATAGTAACCTGAAACTGTTAGGCTCAAGCAACTCTCCTGCCTCAGCCTCCCAAGTAGCTGGGACTACCGGGGCCCACCACAATGCACAGCTGTAATGGGATCTTGCTCTAGTTCAAGCTGGTCTTGAACTCCTGAGCTTAAGCAATCCACCCACCTTGGCCTCTCAGAGTGCTAGGATTATAGGTATGAGCCACTGCACCCAGCAGCCCTGGACAATTTTTCCTTCATGGGACCCTTCCTCCATTAAAAAAAAAAAAATTAAAAATTAGGCCGGGCATAGTGGCTCACACCTGTAATCCTAGCACTCTGGGAGGTCAAGGTAGGAGGATCACTTGAGGCCAGTTCAAGACCATCCTGAGCAAGAAAATGAGACCCCATCTTTACAAAAAAATTTTTTTAATTATCTGGCATATTGGTGCTCACCTGTAGTCCCAGGTGCTCAGGAGGCTAAGGCAGGAGGATCACTTGAGCCCAGAAGTTTGAGGTTGCAGTGAGGTATGATGATGCCACTGCACTGCAACCTGGGCAACAAAGTGAAACCCTGACTCTCTTCATATATATTTGATATAAAGGCAAATACAATCCAGGCTGATTGTAGTTATTTTAAAAGAATATAAACATTTTGAAGTCCCTTAAAAGTATTGTGGGCCCTGGACCCTGTACCTACTGTCTCCACTAGGTAAGTCAGCCCTGTAGAAGAGTGGGTGGAGGCTCAATTAAGAAGGCTTTGAAAGTCATGGTAACAGGTAAGGTAAGCCTTGGGCAGTCATGATCCTGGACACTAACCCTGGCCTTACTCTTGGTTGTATTAAAAATCAAACATTGGCTGGTTCAAGTGCAGTGGTGTTTTACGACCAATTGATCACAACCAGTTACAGATTCCTTTGTTCCTTCTCCACTTCCACTGCTTCACTTGACTAGCCTTTTAAAAATAAATTATTCAAATAAACATCAAATATTTATCAGGCATTGATCATTTGTCGTTTACCCCAGTATCCCTCATTCCAGCTATAGTATCATCCAACAACTCCCCAGCCCAATCATATTGTGATATGTGCCCAACCAAAGTGCCCTGTTTTGCCAGGAAGGTTCTACTTGCCCTCCAGATAGCATCGCCCAGGAGCAGCCAGCTAAGAGTAACTCACAGGGAGTGAGAGATGCAGCAGGAGTGAGATGGCCCAGGTTTGGGGGTGAAGGGAAGACTGGGAAGGGAATTGGGCCAGCAGAGGGAAAGGGTGTTGGCTGGAGTTGTGACCTGCTTTGTGGCCTTGCCTAACTTAACACCTCTACTTGTCCTTAAAACCCTCCCCTCTAGCCCCTCTCAGAACTACTACCCCCAAGGACTGCACCTCTTCAAACCTTATGCTAACCCTGTGCTACAATCTCCTAGCTCCAGGAGCCTCTAACTCTAGCCTTGAAGTGCTGGTCCCCTCTGGGAATCTACTTCCCCCTTGAACATTATTGGGGCCATTACCAAAAATATCTAAATATCCCAGGATTTATTCTCTACTTTTTTTTGTTTTGTTTTTGGCCGCGGCTAGGTTTGAACCCACCACCTCCGGCATATGGGGCCAGTGCCCTACTCCTTTGAGCCACAGGCGCCGCCCCATTTTTTTTTTTTTTTTTTGAGACAGCGTCTCACTTTGTCACCCTCAGTAGAGTGCTATGGCATCATAGCTCACAGCAACCTCCAACTCTTGGACTCAAGCAATTCTTTTGCCTCAGCCTCCCAAGTAGCTGGGATTACAGGTGCCCACCACAATGCCCAGCTATTTTTAGAGTCAGGGTCTCACTCTTGTTCAGGCTAGTCTTGAACTCCTGAGCTCAGACAATCCACCCACCTTGGCCTTCCAGAGTGGATTACAGGCATGAGCCACTGCACCCTACCTATTGTGTACTTTTTTTTTTTTTTTTGGAGACAGTCTTGCTATGTCACCCTCAGTAGAGTGCTGTGGCATCACAGCTCACAACAACCTCAAACTCCTAGTCTCAAGTGATTTTCTTGCCTCAGCCTCCCAAGTAGCTGCGACGAGAGGCGCCCACCACAATGCTCGGCTATTTTTTTGTTGCAGTGGTTTAACTGGCCCAGGCCGAGTTCGAACCCACCACCCTCCAAAAGTAATATTGTGGAGAAAGCCAAATAGCATAGAAAAATATGAGATTAATAAAAAGTGAAATTCAGCTTCATGGTGCCCCATACCTGTCAATTCATTCTCTAGAGGTAATAACTGTTTACAGGTTCGTATGTAGACCCTTCCATGCCTTTTCCTACGAGTAGACAAATCCACACACAGTACATGTCATTTGCAGCTTACTCTCTCCCCGCATACCCAGGATATCTTTTCCCTCATTTAGGTCAAACTCATTCTTTTTGAAAACTTCATAGTACTCCATAGTAGAGTTAACTTATTTAACCTTCTCTTATTTATATGAATACCTGGGCTTTCCCCATTTTGTAACAAACTGTACTGTAACCCACAACCTTGTACATTTATTTTGTACATAGGACATGTATGCCTGTGAGTATTTCAAAAGGATGCATTCCTAGAATTAGAACTGCTTCAGCAGAAGAAATGCAGTCCCTCCACATTTAAGCCCAGGCCATGATCTATGCCTAACCCTAAGAGAATAAAAGAGTGCCCAGCATGGGAGACTAGCCAGTTATGAGGGTCTTAAATGTAGTCCTTGAGTTTGATTTTTTTTTTTTTTTTTTGAGACAGAGTCTTGCTTTGTCACCCTCGGTAAGGGCTATGGCATCATAGCTCACAGCAACCTCAAATTCTTAGGCTCAAGCAATTCTCTTGCCTCAGCCTCCCAAGTAGCTGGGACTACAGGCGCTTGCCACAATGTCTGGATATTTTTTAGAGATGGAGTCTCACTCTGGTTCAGGCTGGTTTCGAACCTATGAGCTCAGGCAATCTGTCCACCTTGGACTCCCAAGTGCTAGGATTACAGGAGTGAGCCGCTGCACCCAGCCCTTGAGTTTGATTTTTAAGCCAATACAGATTAGGTATCCCTGGGCCAGGCCAACGGTTCAGAGATGGATGTGACATTGGCTCTGCCCTAAAGGTTCACCACTTTGTTTTTTTTGTTTTTTTTTTGTTTTTTTTTTTATTTAAAATAAAAATTTTATTGTATTTATATATATAACATGATGTTATAAGATAAAAACAGTAAGAAGGTTAGTATAGTGAAGCAAATTAACTTATCCATCATCTTACAGTTTTAATTTTAAAAATACATTTTAGAAATATTTTATACTTTTGTGAATTGCTCACTCTTTCTCCATTTTTCCATCAGGTTTTTGGCCCTTTGTCCTTTGATATTTAAGAACTGGCCTCATGATTTTGTGATACTTATATACTACAACTTTAAAAATAAAATGAGGTTTTTTATCAT